ACATATAATTGGAAAGTGCCACGAAAATCCTTGGAATCTATTAGCATTCCCGGAAGTACTAAGGCTTCAGTGTATATATATAACACATCTATACTGATGATACATATATCTCCCAAACATATGTGTCACATCCGTTGGGGAGAATTTTCCCTAATCCTTGTACATATTGCATCATGATGCTCCATGTTTGAATACAAATATGATTTTACAAGATATCACTGCATTCAACCAATCGTTGTACTTTTTGTATGACGATGTTACATGTCGAATTCAAGCAAGCCTTCCCAAAATATCATCACACTCATATGACATAGTTTGGACATATGTAACAAATGTAGATATGTCCAATTTGTTTTTACATGCACATCCAGGAATTTACTTACTCCAAACGAATCCCGACACTTCTAAGTGTCAAGTCAAAGGCAAAGAATCGGTTATTCACGAGTTGTCTCGGATTAAGTAAGCATATATGGGATAACAAGGTCAATGTGTAGACGACTTAGACTTCTGATTCGAGCCTGCACTAATTGAAATAAACTGCTGATAGAGGGATAGAGGTTTCTTGCTTTGGATGCCAGTTACACGATGAAAGCATTAGGTTTGAAGTTATTTGTGAATTGTTCTCCAGCTTGAAAACATTTTATCAAGTCTAACATTCACTGCAGAATCTTGTCATCACATTAATTGATTCAAAGTGAGTTAGTGTCAACTTGAGGCATTCATAGCACTGAATTGTAATGAAAACCTTAGATCATAAAACTGGATTAATCCATCTCTAAATGAATTTCCTCGCTTCATCTTCCGGGAGATTTCGCACTTAAAGTAACGTGTTAGTAGTAATTTTTTTCTTAAAAGCTGAGAGAAAGAGTGTAAAATTTCAAACAACTTCAATATGAAAAAGAATAGCAAAGTTGAACACACTTATATTTCCTATCCAGAATGCATGTGTACCTGTTATAAATATTTAAAACACAGTACGATCAATCTAGATAAATGTAGAATTGTCTTTTACATCAATTCTAGATTCTCTTGGGATTATGGAGAAAACTGTCAGGAGCTTGCATTACCAATATGCTCTCAAGGATGAAACTAACATAATTCAATCAGATTAGATATATACATGATAAATCTGAAAACAAAGATCTTGTTCTTTCACGTAATCGAAGACCTTGACAAATCTCGCTGACAGAGCTGGAATTCGTTCTTCAGCCCACTGCAAGAATGTTTGGATTTTATGTCTAACTCCAAGGGTGAAGAGACAATACCCACTCCAATGCAATTTTCTGTCTAAATGTTTAAAGACGAGAGGAAAGCTTTGTTAATTTATACATTTTCTATAGTCTGAATTACAGAGATATCAAGAATAGGATAAATTACGAGAATAGGATAAAATTGATTTTACAAAAATGTCCTCAACAGATCTGAACCACGGAATTGAATGGTAAAAGCAAACATTATCGCTCATAGTGAATAATGTCTGATCGTGTATGCTTCCAGAAATTTATGAATCTTCCAAAAAGGCAAACTGACAATTTATAACTTACAATGTCCATAACTTGGTAGTGAATATTCAAGATAGAAAATTTCACACCGTACATCATTTTCAGGAAGATTCATTTCTCAAAAGTATAAGTGGCTTCTTTCCATTTCACAACGGAGACGATATTGCAAAATTTCTTTTCTGCGAGATTCTGACAGTGTCTTGACCTGCAGTTTCCTGCTATTTCCTCAATTCTCTTCTATTCTTCTAATCACATCTTAAATCTTTAATATGCTTGACCGGGTGAGTAATTTCGAGTAACCTGAATTGGTCTATGTCTCATCATATCTGCTCTAGACCTCACGGCTCCTGAATTTGACAGTTTATTCACCTCGTCATCGTCAATGCCCACGAATCCCTTCTCGTCAGATTTAGCTATCCTCATCTCGGTGAGATCAAGATCGTACAAATGAAGGTTGCTTTGATGTTCTCCTTCCTGTTGCTTCTGACTTCAAGTTTTTCTACATTTGTTGGAACGGAGGAGGTTCTGAATCGGAGCCTAGAGCACCCTGATTATCGCTAAATTTGTTCATCTTTTACGTTGAAATGAAATCAGATACCGCCTCTGCTCGTACATCGCGACCATTAATTGACCTGGATGTTTTCATTGCTGTATGAAGGTCAGTAAAAGGCGCCTTCTGCTCTTCGACGCTTTATTCTAGCACTTACGTCAAGTTGCGTCAAGTTTTGCGAAATACACATGCCCACCTTTTGTCGCACTTTGTTGAGAATCTCTTATCAAATTTCAAGAAGTCTCAAGAATTCCTCCCTTGAGCTCTATTGGATCTTGCTAGGGCATGTCAAAAGCGCGATTGAATTAAGAGCTATACACACGCTCCAAAATTTGACCAATTTAGGAACATATACACTGCTAAAAATCACATGTTCTATTTAGAATCACCTTGAAAAGTTTACTTTTTATGAATTTATAGCAGTTTTAGTAGCCACCGAAAGTAATATGTAGTTTGTTATTATCCTAAAGCTACTTAAAAACCGATTTCTAATTGCATATTCAATGTGCAATCCACAAAAGAAATAAAATCATCAGACCTCGTACTAGTTATTATTAGTTCCACTGATATCCCAACACTTACTCTCATTGTAAAGTGATGTTTCTCATTTGAATGAAAAAAATATATCAATATTTGGGCACATACAAACAAAAAAATTCCGATATACAAGTGATTCACATTCTAATCGAAATACTTGTCAAGCGTAAAGCATCTCCAATAAGTCACATACTTTTCAGTAGGTTCCTGGTCATATACATATGACTAAGCTATTTGACTGACAGCCAAGACATCCTCCATCTTGGCCACTGCCACCAGGGCCACGACGAATAATGACAATTGTTCTGCTTCTGCTCTTCGTGATTTTCCTCGTCTCAGACGAGAAAAGCCTTAGCCTTCCGAGCTCACGACATCGCTCAAGTGATCATCCACAGCACTTGGTTCCAGAAGTCCAGCTTCTTCTTTCAGCACCTACGCACAGCTCAACGATCTTTCAGATCCAGAGACCGAGCTATCTATTCTGCTCGATATCTTTGCAGTAAACGTGGTGGAATTCCGCGCATATCATCCCATTCTGTCACGAATTGGTGAACAGCGGAACCATGATAACCATCAAATCGGATCCAACTATCCATGCGGTTGAAGGAGGAGATGGTTTATCTGAGCCCTGGTCTATCCACAATATTCAGAAGAATCTTCAGAGACTGGGAATGAGATACAAGGTTCAAGCACTTCCAAAGACAGCTTCGGGCCGAGATCAATCCCAACACAAGCTTCGGCTCAGTGTCCCGGCTATTTACAGGATATTCTTCATGAATATGGGACAAAGGTGAAAGTCCCCAGAGGATTATTAGGAAAATCGTTTGAAGTTTTAATCTCCTCAATTTAAGCCTTTGATGGCCGTTCATCATATAGCAAAAAATAAATAATTATTCGGACAGAAACCGTGAATTATTCTGAACATTTACGAAGTTGGTAGGTGAGAGAAGCCGTGTGAATCTTTGGATCAAATGCTTTCGTATAAAGATTTAACATATAGTTTTTTGGGGGGTTAAACGGAAAATATAATCACATACATGCAATGTATGTGGAAGGTACTTGAAAGGTAGATAGGGGAAGTTTTCTTGATGACGAATTATCAAAGCTGTCGTTATCAATGTATCTACATTCAGTTATGTTGGAGAAGCCCGCGTGAGAGTCATGGTAGCATCGCACTGTACAAGTCTTATGATGTACAGAGTGGGATAGCGACTTTTACTGCACAAATCGTCCGATATGAACTGCGTGGTAGCAGCTCTAGCTGTGCTTTTTTGTACCGGGGGAGGAGATATATGATCCGCAGGGAAGATCTACGATTTCCGCCTTTAACGACTTTGCAAAGGTTGCGTGAATATCCGAAGACCGATTGTTCTCAAAGAAACTGCTTTATGACCATTCGTTGTTTGGTAACCTCGCACTGGACATAGTCTTTTAGTGGTTGTCGTCTCAAAGCCTTTGCAGGACTTTCATCTGCCTCGATATGGCCAAAATGGACTCATCGCAAAGATATGCATATGCTGGTACGCAGATTGCTGATATCCTGACATCCGAAAATAGTGAACCCACTGATCATTTTTCGGCACCGAAGGCTTTTAAATGTCTGCCAGGCAGGAGCTTGGCCGATCGACTCTTTCAAACGTCCAAGGATGAGTCCTGTCTTTGTGAGAAATGCGATTCAATGCGGGAGAGGATCTCAAGGAAGTACTTTGTGCACCAGAAGATCACTTCTAGTACGTCCTTTCCAGTAATTTACCTTTTTCTTTATTAATCACGTTTGACATTGACCTGAGAAACTCATGGCTTATCTTTTCAAAGCTATCCACCCCGAGCTCCGACGCTTGGTTTTGTTTGCTCATCTTCTGCCGTTATATAAAAGATCTTCAAGAGACCCAATGGCCAAGTGCGATTGCAAACGTTCAGCACTGCATGGTTATAAAGATTTTTTCTTTCAAGGCGATTGAAACATGATTCCCTCTGTGAGCATTTAGTGGGTCGTGGAAGGGTCGTGGTCGTTTGCATCTGCATCTGGTCCCCGCCGACCAGATGCAGATGCAGACCCGTGGCCGTTGGGTCTTTCCGTGGACTGTAAAATCTCTTCCTTCATTTGTTAGAATGAAGATACTCAGGCAGAAATGTGAAGCGGTTTACGGTGTTACATTGGACACTGTAAGGTTTAGCCCTCGAGGTGTACTTCCTTTCATATCACCAAAATTTCTTATATTATAAACTTGGAGACAGCAGACAACGGAAGCACCATAATATGTGACTACTATGTGGGTGGGAATATTATTAACATACTTTGAATGTAAATACATTATCAGTTCCAACATGTGGCCCTCTAGAATGGCGTAAGTAATTTCGTATTCAAAATTCATAAAGATTCATATTTCAAAATCAGAACTCTGAAAATGGAGGCTTAAGGATTGGAACCGTTTAAAAAATTTCAAATCTTTAAGATCGAGAAAAAATATCATAATGATTGTCTAAAATGTAACGATAATCTGTTCTTTTGTGGAAATAACCAAATCAATATCAAACTACATATACTACTCGAATGTGATCCATGCACAAGCTCCATATGATTACAGCTCTGTGGATGAACTCTAGCATCACTAACCGGTGATGCTAATTGTTGAAATCGATCTCGTCCAGATATTTTAATGTTTGGGGTCGAAGCAAAGCCTTACATAGTTCTGTACCCTGAACACAAGTGAGTAAAATTTAGACAGAAATCGAGAGATGAGGTGAACTATCAAAATCTTGTGCTTCTCATTAGACTTGAACATACGATTGTTGAATGTCCAAACGGAACAACTTTAACGAATGTTATGATGGAATTCACTAACCTTTGGCACATTCGTTGTCTGCCTGGGGCCTTCATACTTGTGACCCATGATTTTCATCCAATCTTCGTGTATTTCTTTAGATGACACGATAATACGGATTTTTGGTAAGTTCTGTAACACTTGCAGATGTCGCGATTTCTTCTCCCTCTTTAAAACACCAGCTTTCACTTTATGAAGAGAGGATTTCCCCGATCTTGTAACTGGCGGAGAACTATCAATAGATGGTGGATTCTCACAGACTTTCGTGCCAATCGAATGAGCGGGAAGATTAGTATCATCAGTCCCAAGAGGGCTTGGAAAGATGAGTTGTCCAGAGTATGATCCATCCTGCAAAACTGAAAATCCACAAAATTCCTCTTAGTTTCAATATTGAAACAACAATATCTCCTGAATCTACCGTTCCATTCTTGATGTGGATAAGTCGGATGTTGATTCGGCTGTTAAGGAACTTAGAATATCCACAAAAAATGTTACAATATGGTCTGTACTAATAAAGGGTTGCGTTTAAGCTCAACATAAAAAGTTACAGTAGCCCCCTTTGCCATGGCACGGAGAAATATCGACAGTCGAGTGGTGGTGCAGTTGTTCCAATGTCACCATAAGCTCTTACTTTTCTTTAAGTTTCCAAGTAATCGTTAACATTCGAAGTTTTAAGGAAAATGGGGCTGTAAAGAACAAAAGTAACTCAGTCTTACTGATATATTTTGACAAGTAGAATGTAGATTGAGTTTGGATTGAGGACACTGGTACGATCTTTGCATTTCTCCGGTGTGTATATGCCTAAAAAATTAAGTTCAAGTCTACGTTTCTGATATTATGCCCATACAAAAAAATCCACGATTGTCTTTTACTTCGAGGACAAAGGAAAATCTCACCGGATGTTCCCGACCCCATATTTTCAGTCCATCCTAGCGCGGTTTGGTTCCTCGCCGAACTGTTTGGAAGGAATTTATCCGTAGCATTCGAAAACTGCTGTAAATCTGGCTCCCAAGTATCAGTACTGTCTTGATCTGTCCTCTCCAACACCTTTTTCCCCTTTCTTCTCATGTACGAAATGGGTAAGTAATCTGAGCTATCTGAATTCAGTGTCTCGGAATATCCTATCTGGACCTTTTCATTCACTGAAGTTGATGTCTTCTTCGCCTCTTCATCCTCGATAGCGAGGTGAGGTTTGTAATTTTCACACGACTTCTTCTTGAAATTTTTCCTCCTGAAATACTTCATTGTTCGTTCAACTTCATCGGTACCTAGCATGCCAGTTGCTGACGGTGATGTCTTCTTCACGTATTCATTGTCCATGGCAACGAGAGGTTTGGTATTATCACCACCATTCTTCTTGAAATTTTTCCTCCTTTTGAAGTACCTCATCGTGCAATGTCTTTCATTGCTTCCGATCACAGCCTCACCACCTTTGCAATCGACTCCACGTTGTCTAGCACATGTTTCATTCTTCCCCTCGATGTCATCACAACTCAGAAGCTTCTCATGTCCACGATACTTCTTCTCCTGGGTGTCGGATGTCAACGCATTCACATGAGCAAAAATAATTAACATCTCAACTTCATTTGCACCTTTTGAAACATGTCTTCTTTGCGAGTTTCTATAACCCTCATCCTTTCCAAAATGATTTCCTCTCTCGATCTTCTTACATGTCCATCAAAGCTTGATTATGTACGTACCAATCAAATGTACGTACCTCGATGTCATGGATATTGCTAGATGGATCTTTTACAGTCAGATCAAAATCGAAGATTTGTTTTCCATCCTCTTCCTTCTCCACATCTGAACTTGAAGGAGTTGCATTCAAGTCAAAAGAGCCGACGTGCCCACTTACAACTACCCTGCCTTCCTTGTCTTGAACTTCACTTGAATCTTTCTTCCCTTTCCCTCTAGACACTTCATTCTCATCATTTTGGAAGGCAGCGGCCTCCACCCTTCCCGTTGATCCTGAATCTTCCTGCATTCCAAGTGTGCATTGCGGAGATAACTCAGGACTACTCTCCTCATGTGAATCAATTGTTCTACTTAGAAGCTGCATCTTAGTGCAGGAAGTCTCTTTTATCACTGTGCTCAGATATTCGAAATCATCCTCGCTCTCATTGGCAGGCTTGTCCAGTGTGAGAACCCTAGCTAGATTAACACTTCTTCTCGGCTTTGGTTTCGTCCCAGAGGATGATGCGTTTTTGTCGTCATCTCCGTTATATGGACCCTTGTAATGACCTTTGGTCAACTCTAGCAGACAATCATCTCGACGAAATCTGGAATTGGACATTCTGATCTTCTTTCGTCCGCACGCCTTCTTCCTCCTAAGTCTTCCGTCAGACTTTTCTATGCTGCTGGAGCGGACGCCGGCATCAGCCGACGTCAGAGCACCTTCATCTCGAAACCCATCCTCATCTTGTGCATCGGAACTTGAGCCAGATCCTGCTTCCCCTCCAATATCGCGAGCACTATCCGAACTTCTAGCCATTGCCACTGCCTTTGTCGTATAAACCCCGTCCCAAGGCGACCTCCTAGCCCAGTCTGGCACAACCACATCTGCACTCATCAAAATGCTTGATAGTCTTTTGGTTTTGCACTTTAAAGCCCGAAGCCTTCCCAAGGCCACATGCTGCGAATGCGTCGAAGCTTTCATCGACGGATCGAGAGCTTCGGTCGCCTCCATTACCTCTGTCTAAGACTTGTAACAAGCTGACTAAACCGCCAACATCAGTCCCAAGTTCACCGCTAATTCTCGCTCTCACCTTCAGACTGACCTGTCTAGTTGACTGAAAGTCCACATTAGTCCATGACAGCCCTTGCTCCCTTGTGTGCTCAATCGATTCTAACTGGGAATCGTAAGGAACCAAACCGCTGGCAGGGAAAAAACGTCGAGTGGGAGCTCCCCTAATAAACTTGAAAGGGGCTCGATATAGTTTCATATTTCTAAAGTCCGTAAATTACCAATGATTGCTTCTCAGAAACAGTCAGATGTCCACGTGGAAAATATCACTGACCGAGGCCACCACTGTAAGTCGGTATTCACATCCACTACTACTGTAATCACATTATACGATACACCGTTACATGCGGGTTTGGAAAACTATGTCCGCCAGCGGTCATATCAAGTTGTCACAAGACCATGTAAGTTTCCAGCTATAGTCACAGATAAGTCTTAATCATTTTACTTAGATCCAGTAGGAATTGTGTGAAACACGATTGAAATCTTGATGATTTCAATTATTGTAAATACCCTTGCAGCCAGTCGGGAAAGATCTCTTAATAGAGTATAAAATACATCTTTGGATACTTTAGAGAGATTGGTTTTTTGCAAAATATCATCATTTTTCATGTTCTTTTTACGTCTCAACTTCTTATATTTTTTTATCAGCGAGGACTCTAACGGTCTGAAATCTTCATTCTACACTTTGCTATTGCAATTCCACAATGAGACTCTTTCATGCGCCCTTTTTTTTTCCCCTCATAATTATTAGAGTTTTCATGTTATCAACTGTTTTGACCGGATCAAGTTTTGTCTTCCATTCTTGAACAAATTATGCATATTATGTACCTAACAAATTGCATGTGTTGAGGTTTAAAACTTCTTGATTCCCTAGCTTCAATTTGAAAATAAAGTTCTGAGATTGGTCTCTTTATGGCATTTCTCTTTCTTTTCAACTTTTAAGCGATATAATATCGATTAGTGTCTCACATTTTGTAAGAGTGTAATTTTTATCATGACGTATTGTCTCATGTAACTTAACTCTTCAATGGTCTGGTATATACTTCTTATTGATGATCATACTCTACATCTACATATTTAGCAAGCTTGAAGACGTTTGACAGGCGGATCATCAACGTCTTTGGTGACGTCATTGGATCAAAACAGACTTTGCATTTTTCGAAAAAAAACTTGTGAATGAATAAAGTCTATTATTTAAAAATATTTCCCAACTTCATCATTTTGGCCAACTGAGCAATCTCGAAATACTTCTCATCTTCTTGTTTTGTGATTATGTCTAGCATCATACTTAGTTTGTATATAAGACACGTGAATAAAAATTTATAATCAAAATTCAATGTTGTTTGCAATAAAATCATATTCCTGTAAATGAAAAAATATAATTATATATTTTTTATCTTAACATTAGAATTGAAAAAACTGTTGTGCACTTGATCATATCAATCAGGAAACTGACTAGAGCATACAATACTACTGATATTCACTTTATCTTCTAGCCCATGATAAAAAATTTAATAAATAGTTCTACAATAATCACAGATTGTAATATAAATTAATATTGGTCTCGTTAGATGATGAAAAATCTATCGATAATATTATTTTTGAACTTTTTATCATTCACAACTGTTGATTATATTCTTAGTGATAATACCAAGAGTTTGAGTCCTGACTTTTATTTTTGTACAACATAATGTTTTTCAAATTTGGCTTCGTTCAACAGAGTGTCTTGAAAAAAGAAAATCAGACACAGATAGTTTCTATAATTCTCGATTGTCATATAAAGATTCGTATCAATTTGATATTGAATTTGTTAAGATGGGTGAAATGTTAAGAGCAGTTTCTTTTAATTGATTTCATATAAAATAGGATAATCAAGAGTTCAAAGATGGGTTCAATTTTAAATATCTGATTTTCAAATCAGATAATAAAAAATAACTTCCAAACTTATTTTTTTATTTTCTGACTACTTAAAAATTTAACATCATAGGCAAACATCGGGTAATTACTTGAATAGAAGATGTTTAGGGTTTAGGATGAAGTAGAAAATAAACATGGTTTGAACAAATCATGAAATAAAAAGCTAATTTTCGAAATGCTAAAAATATATAATTTAATACCGTTCCACTTGTATGCTCGTTTCCAACTCTCAAATTTCTCTACTTATGAAAAAGTACATCTGCTGAAAGTTTGAATCTACTTCTCTCTAGTTTATTCCTTGTTACATTTGATGGTATTATTATCAATATGTGATGGTAGAAAACTTCTAACCACTTGTTCCTATGTCACATAAGTTCTCTATAATCGTAGTCATAATAAAATTCTGGAATTTGCATTACTGGCTTCCGATGAGATCTGTCTCTCCTCTTGTCTTGAAATTTCCTCATGTCCCCCACAAAATTGCAAATAAATGCAAACTAAGTCTTCCTCAACCTGTATCTATCTCTCTCATGATCCAAAATTCAACAACTTGATGAGTATGCTACTATTGTAGGTATCTGATTCGGATCAGAGTTTAGTTGATTCAATAGTACGGTTATAACTTTTTGCGTGACCAGCCAGTATATGTTGCCTACGTGACATCCTTTCGCGTGTTGATACTTTTAGTTTGTCAAAGTCGCTATACTCAAAGCGCTGCCTTCTTTGACGATTCTTCGTCTCATGATCTCATGTGTCGTTTGGACATCATTGGAAGTTACTATTAAACTGTAGCAGATTAATTTGGACTAGATTTCTATCTGAACTCGATTTGTCACTATTCTTTGATATTTTTAGAGGGAACTCAGAGCCAGTAATGATACCTCATTCGGACGCTTGAAAGAATCTTCAATGTTTTAACAATATCATTGACGAGAAGATTTTATCATGTAGAGTACATAATCCAATCAAGAAATTGTTCACACAGAACTTCGAAAGCGAGTGAATTGCAGCTCAGACTACCAAGTCAAATAGTTGCGCAAATCAAGACGAAAAAGGACAAGAAGATCAGTTTCGTAGAAGAAGTACATTACACTGATATGTTACTATCAGCATTCACAAAATAAAATCATCACGCTTTCCATTTTCGTTCCTGTCCAGTTTTGAAAAGAATGTACCATCATGGAATACATACACATTCTGTCATATTCTGTACAATATATATAATCCATTTCTATATAACTACAAGAAGAAATGTAGTCCTCCTATCAAAAAAAGGAAGAGAAAGGAGGCGTCCATGGAGTTGAAGTGCAATGATTAAGTAACTATTCTTCTTGATCATAGAGCGATCAATCAGGTGAAAGTCTAAAACAGTTCAAGCAGTTGAGGAAGAAATGGACTGAATCATGAACAGTATAAGTACAGTACCTCCAGCGTTAAATTTCAAAGTGATATAAGCTTGACAAAACTTCTGTACCCATTAAAGGATTGCCAAATTAAACGATATGTCACTGTTGACCACTTATTACCACAAATTTTCTTTCATACTCTCGGTTTCATATTACGTTTTCATATTCATAGTCCAATTTATTTCAAATTGCAGCAATCATTGAGGCTATTTTTGAATGCTAAGTTCTTTGCCATTGTTTTTGGCTATATATCTTCCTCTTCTCGTGTCGTCGATGTATTGCGTCTGCGTTTACTCTTGGCTTATGCAGTGTGCAAGAAAGACAAATGGTAAAGAAAGATAAATGGTCTAATTACAGCTAAAGCAAATAGGTAAAGCTTTTAGTTGGCATCTCCAAGCTCGTATAAAAGTTCTTCTCCTTCACGATAAGAGTTGCAACATTTTTGGGGAGACTTAATTCAGTGTAGATTAGTAATTTCATTCTTCTTCTTCCTGATCAATCTTACTAAACCTTCACAGTTCCTGTTTTGCTCGTTAGTTACCGTAATGGGATCAACAGATGTTTCAATATACACGTGACCTTGAACAAAAATCCGGGGTTTAGAGTAATAACGATAGAAGCATTTACGGGATCCTGAAAAGCCAGATAGTTAGACCCTGGAATTTATCCCTTATACCTCATTCCCATCACATTTCTGGTCAACATCCATATTTCAAGATATTATATGTGGCTTCTTAGTTTCAAAGCATAAGAGGAAGAAAAAAATTTCCAAGTTCCGCCTTGCAATTTTCTATGAAATTTTTCAAATCAGCTCAAAAGCTTGATCTTGTTGGACCCCTGTCCAACAAGATCAAGCTTTTGAGCTGATTTGATTTGAGAGTTGCAAATCACTCAAATTCCATCCACTATTTTAAGAGTATTTTGAAAACCCCTTATGTTGATCAATTTCATCGGGTCATGACCATCAAATACTAGTGAGTTCAGTTTGTGAATGAACTTATTAGCCTCCGTATCCATTTCCACTTTCCATCTATTCGTGCTCACTTTGTCATATTAAATAGGAGATCATTACATTGCAGTTGAAGCTGGCAGCACTTGAGTTACCCTAATGTATCTTCTCGTCCATGTGCCAAGAAATTTAGCTTTAGGTTGCGCTTGGAAACTGCCCGAATTGCCAACTACATACAGAATACAATTGCCGTAATCGGTTAGTTCTTTTGATAAGCATTCTATGTGCTGAAATTGATCAAACAACTCCTAATCCTAACTATTTTGATGAAATAATTTTAAAAAATCCAAAAACCATTTCAAATGAAACCTTTATGATTGCTATTATACTATCAAATGATCATAAATAAAGCTTAATATAAACAAATGATATTTCAAGCTTCTATAGAATTTCAAGTTCATTGGAATAGTAGAGATTTACTGATGTTTTGCATAAAGTCTAAACAAAGCTTTGTATTTTACAAAAATTTCAAGATTTTTCATCATGATGAACATTTTATACTCTGAAAATATGTGGTATTTTTCATAAGAGCGCATGTAAAACTTGAATAATTTCACTTCAATAAAATGTCTTTAATTTAAAACAAACTCAAAAATTTTATTATAACATTTTACATTTTACTATTAAGTTAACCTCTTAAGTCAAAAAAGATCTCGTTATAAGTCTTCAGATTCGTTCAAAATCTTTAAAAATAAAAAAAAATGTTAAAATATACTGCAAATTTGATGATTTGGGTGATATATCCAATATCTTT